AAAAAAAAAGTCACAGAGGACATAATGTTGACAGAGCAGTGCTGTAAAATTTGCAGTGGGATTATGCAGGTCGCCTTTTACAGAATGCTGTCAAGTTACAGGTAAAAGCTGTTCTTGCCATGACAAACAGCGGATACTAAATTATGCAAATCCAAACGACTACAGGCAAAAGTTGTTGCCGCAGATCCCGGGCCCTGTTTAGGTCCTTTGCCATAAGGCATTGTAAGGAAATGCACTCACCTCGCTGATACTGATGTCTTGGGTGAGAAGGGGTCCAGAGAGCAAGACAGCCATGCTGGAAGACACATCCCCAGCTACCAGTTTCTGCTGAGCGGGAGATGAAGTTGAAAAGCACAGGGAGCATTAAACATGCAATTGCCACAACCAGGGGTAACCTGTGAGTGTTTGCATCCATAGCTGATGTGGAGATTATGTTCAAGTGAAAAAGCAATATACATTTGAAAAAAGCTGTCATATATCCAGGAAGGCTATTCTGCCTGTCTCAAGTCAACTGCGTTTTCCCAGATACAGAAGAGCAGTAGGTCTACACCTTCTATCTGCTACACAGCATCCTAGAACTTCCTCTAAATAACAGCTACTAAAGCTGTCCAGTAACAACTTAAGAACAGTGGAAATGCTCTCTAATGCATACAGGCTTATGGTACCCTTGAAATTCAGGCCAGCAAAAACTGTGCAGTGCTAACTTCTCCACCCAGCAAGTCACACCATGAAGCAAAACATACTATGCTTACCTCCCTGCTTACCTCCATCTCTTCTTGTTCGTTGGGGAACAGCTCTGCAAAACCATCCACACTCCCCAGTATTCTCTGTGTATAAGATTCTGTGACAGCGATTGGGCTGCCCAGATCTTTCATCTCAGACAGCAAGCTCCCTGTGTCCTTCCAGGGGAATAGAAAATGCTTATATCATATGTGACCTATATGCAAAAGTAGTTGCAGACAATGTAGCTTTCTTAGCATAGCTGAGCAGGTTAGTCTGTGAGCATTAGCTATGGCTGGACCATAGCAAAATCCACTAGCTGCATCACAAAACCACCATACAGTAATATATGTGTACACAGGCATCTCCATAGTTTCCAGCCAGAATTTCTTCAGATAGCAGACTCTGCCCTGTTCTTTATCCATAGAGGCAAGATGAGACCCTCCTGACCTAGGCTTGGGCTACCATGACACTACTGCCTTAGCACCCTACTAGGAGACTGAAGCATGAACTCACAAGTGGAGGAGTCAACAGGGCCAGAGGGTCTGGGCCTTCCTTCTGAAACAGCAGGCCTCATGGAACATGATAGCCCAAGTACTTAAACCAACTACTCTCTCCTGAAAAGGATGAGGAGAAAGGCCTGAATCACTTCAGGGATGCTCAAAACCAGCATCCTCAGTCCCAATAT